TTTTTTCGGCTGCGGAGGGGCTGCGGCGGGCGGAAGTTGTTGGTCATTTTTAGAAGCGTGGAGCCGGTGGCCGGGAAGTGGAGTGTGCTGACGAACTCCTGGAGCTGCGCGGGGGGAGAGGTAGAGGGGGCCATTGCTTCACTGAGTGCCCCAAGCCCTTGCCCACATGCAAGCCCCCTTTTGCGCTGCCCTGCTGTCAATGGTGCAGGACCCACAGCATGGCCTGCACTGGTGGGTGCCCTCCCACAACCCTTCAGTGCTCTCCCAAAACCAGACCCGTAGGGTTAGGTACATGAGGTAGGTCCTTACGGGGATCAGACCTTGAGTTTTACAGGAGCTAATTGTGTTCTGGTGCCAGCACTGAGCACTTCAAGAGCAGCTGGCCCACGACTCCCGCAAGCAGACACTTCTGCTAAGGTGCTGGGGCAGCAGAGGAGAACTTTCTATCCACCCACCTATCCATCCATCCAGGCACTCACCCACCCCCTTGGAGCCCCATCTGAGCTCCAAGGTGTTCCCATTTTGCTTTCTGAACACCAGGGCCAGGCAGGAAAGTGCTACAGACAGGATTTCTCCCAGCTGGCAGATGGCCACAGCTCCATTACTTAACCTTCATAAAATTAATTAATTGCCAGGGTGCTGGGAGCATTAATACGGAGATGACTTTCCTGGCTCAGCGGTCAGGTGAAGCTGAAGGAGAGGGGCTGCATTTTGACCGCCCTGGGAGTCCAGCCCTTCGGCTGTGCACGCCAGTACCTGCTCGCGGCCGATAACCACGGGCTCCTCGAAGACGGTCCAGACAACAACCTCGCTGCAGTCGGGGGTGGTGAGGGAGCCCTGGTAGCGGTAGTACCCCGAGAGGCGACTGGCGTGGGGTAGCAGGGTGCTCAGCCGGAAGGTAGAGGCCAAATCCACCGCGTCCCCTGTGGGGTGAGACATGGGCACTCAGCCCTTCCCACACCAGGGACACTGTGTGTGTCCCATCAGCTTCCCCACAGACAGATGGCCCCACTGACCAGCAGGTTCCCCGTACCCAGGGGTGCACCCCTGCCCTCCCGCATCAGGATCTCTCCTCTTTCTGCCCCAGTGAGGAGACGACTCACCAGCACGGGAGATGTTCCTCAGCCCCATCACAATGGTGTTGTAGTTGGTGTTAGGGGTTTCAGAAACCTGCAGAGGGGGAGAGTAAGTGGCTGGGGCAGGGCAGGGCAGAGCCAGAGGGGCCTGGCCCCACATCACCGCAGAGCAATGGGGATGGGTGAGCTCCACTGGGACCCCCTTGTACGAAGTGGACAGGGGAATTTTGAAACAGCCCCAGCCCACGAGCAGCCTCTCCCCAGAGGGTCCCCTCCTGTGGGCAGTGTGGACTCCCCAGACCCACCTGGAAGAAGAAGCCGAGGACGGCCAGCCCGTTGGGGTGCCCCTTGGCCTCTGCCAGCGTCCGGTAGTTGACGTTGATATGGACGATGTGCAGCTGGGGAACACATGGAGGGGCCAAGTGTGGGCAACCACCCCTGCCTGACCCCCCCAGCAGCAGGGTGTTCATCTGGGGATCTTCCCAGGCAGCCGAACACTGAGCAAAGCATCCCCAAAAAACCCCCCCCAGTCCCATGGGCACATCCGCAGGGCGGCTGCTCAGAGGATCAAAGCACCCCAATGAAGCAAGCATCCTTTGAAGGGGGTGGGGAAAGGCAGCCAGAGTCCCGGGGTGCCCACCAACCGCAATACATAAATTTTCCTCTCCTCTAGTAGGTAATTAATATTTGAGAGGCACAGAGTCTCTTTCACCCAGAAGGATCCCAATGCACTCAGCACAGCATGCTCTCACACACTCTTGCTTGCATTCACTGGTAGCACATGGTCCTGGAGGGGCGCAGCGCCCTCCAAAAAC